TGCACATACGGTGAGCATCCAAAGGATGCCTCACCCAGAAGAACAAAAACAGGCATTTAAGAGAGAAAACGCCTTTAGCTGGAGTGCGTTTTGACTCAAAACCGTTTTGAGCATAGATCACAGGTAACATGGGAAGAAACGCAGTCAAAAGACCGTGCTTGATTCGTCAGAATCGGTCATGGTAAGCTTGGGTGGACCATTGAACAAAAGCATGGAATTGACAGACTTGCATTCGGATTGTGCATGTGATGTACAAACTTTCAATGGTAGTCGATCTACCGCGAAATTCAACCTTGATGTAAACAAACCAACAACCCTGAACAAGTAGCATCGAACTTGTGACCCTAAATGGTATTTTCTGCCAGAAGCTGGTTGTTGTCAGCTTCCATGTTGCCGTTTGGTGAGGTAAGACAGCGGCACTGCCGCCAAGTATGCATGTCATGATTGTTGGTGGCTTTTGCTGTAATGAGTTGAGTGAATGCATCCTAAGTGATGAGTTGAAAGGTTTCCTGACAGGTTTCACAGATTGATCAAAATAAGGTCAACAATGGAGGTAGTTTAAACCTCAAAGGCCTTGCAAAGTGTGGTTGGTACAATTGATCTTTAAGACGGAGTCACAGCAGAAGCAGCAGCAGTAGCAGGCACTTTCTAGTCGGGAGGAATGTAGGCAGCTCCACCTGCTGAGGTGGTTGCCTTCTGCTCGGAGCATGCAGGATAATCCGTCGAAATCTTAGAGGAGGAAGCCGGAAAAGAGTTGATCTGAATGTCTCCAGGAGCACATTGTTGTTCATGTGAACCTGGGTAGAAAGAACTAGCCCAAAACATGCTTTCCAGTAGCAAGAAGCCTTTTAGTATGTCTTTGAAGCTTCTCAGTAAAGCAATAAAGCTTTCTTAGGTGGTGGCCATCGCTATTAGGTTGGAGGTCATCGCTACTAGTAACAATAAAGCTTTCTAGTAACATGGAGAGAGTGCAGCTGTTGGCTCCAAGTTTCCAAGCTTAGCCGGTCGCCTTGTGCAGCTCGTGCGCCTGTGCCGTCTATGTCGTTTGGTACGATTTTGTGGCTTTGCCTGGGGCTGTGTCTATGTCAGCTCCAATTTGGTGCCGTCAATCTTGAAAGATCCCCCAATGGATTCGTGAATGAGTCAGTTTGCGATGGATCGATCTGTCAAGTCACTCGTCCCCGGTCGCAGGGATCAGACCTTCTTCAGCGAAAGGCAGTCTCAGTCTCTGTGTCCAAGGTGTCAAAGCAGCCCACTCGCTGCCAGACTACATGTGTGATCCCTGCAGGGGAAACATGGCTTTTGGACACCTCCTTGCACGTGGAGACACTCACAATTTATGGCACCCTCGAGTGGGACCGGAGCAAAGCAAACTTGGAGCTACGGGCTAATTATGTTTCAGTGGAGGATGGTGGCCAATTCATCCTTGGCACAGCAGATTCTCCCATGGATTTGCCTGCGACGGTGTACATCACCAAGGGCCCGCACAGTGACCCTGAGCTGGGGCGGCGCTTTCTTGGAGGTCGTGGCACTGGACAGAAACTAAGCTGAAGCAATTGACATGAACATGAAGAAACGCTAACTTGGACACCTTCGTCGTAGGGACTTAGTAGTCTGAGAATCGATTGGCGCTTATCATGGTCAAGTGTTCCTCCTATGGCTGCTGATTTTTGCATTGTTTCATATCTAAAGGTTGGCACGGCTGTTGAGATGTGATCGAATACCACGACTTCATGCGGGCACGATAGCTTATCTTGATTTAAGACAAGTTTGATGTGAAACACACACACACAATATGTTAAGTTTCCCAGGCTAATCAAAATGCCAGGAGTCATGAGACAGCCGTTTCTTTGACTGAGAAAGGACCGATTTCAGAGTCCCGGTATGTCTTTATATATAATTAATTAATATGTATTATATACACATAGATGCATACATGTCGATTATCTTGCAATTCTGCTGGCTTTGGCGGCTTTGACAAGCTGCCACTGCTTCATCTATCGGATGCCAGGATCGAAATCCACGGACGCAAATTGCAGCGCACGTGGACTCTTCTCAGCAAGACTGTTGTGGCTGGAGAGACAGTACTCCATTTGAAGCATAGCCCTGCTGAAATGGGCTGGCAGGTTGGTGACAGGACTGCCTGGAGAACTTCAGACGGTCGGGATGGGGCGTCAAAAATGATCACAGACGCAATGAAAGAAGCATCGTGCCTGGAAAAGAGACTGTACACAGCATAAGCTGGAAGTGTTGCATGATTTTGCGGATTTGCAAGGAATTTGCATATATTGACATACAAATGCTCTACTGTGCGACAGGCTTCAGCATCACAAGATCAGCATTAGATTTAGATGGAATGTAGAGGTTCACGTCAGCTTTTTGAGAGCTCTCCTTTCTCCAGGATTGGACTAGCAACCACCAGTAGAGGTGAGTCCTCTGTGCATCGTATCGTTCAGATAGTTGGAAAGCAGCTGACTGTCGCAGAACCAGTCAGACTCTTGGAATGATTATATCAGGAAGGTCATTCCTTCCCAGGTTAGTGTGGGCTCGGTTCGGGGGACGGAGTAGTTTAACACAGAAATTGAAAAAGCTGAGGAGGATTCCAACAAAACATCACTCAGAGTCGATGAACACATAGGAACAAAATTGTAACCAGGTTGAACTTCGGTCAAATCATCTAGCACTAAGGTCTAGCTTCTTGCCCCTTTCATCCGCACGCACATTGCTGCCTGTTCCGCAGCAACTCGCCCAATCTCACCCCGCCTTCCAACAGAAGACCCGCCCATGGTGGCCCCAGGCAATCTTGAACTGATTGAACATGCAGATGGAACACTGATTGTGTTTGTGCGTTGAACCTGAGGATGCCGTCAGGTAAGTATTTGTGTCAGTGATTCATGAAACATTTGCCTTGATCTTCAAAGGGGCATAACCAAAATGACTTCATCTCCAAACAGCTTGACTTCGGCTTCAGTGAGGGCCTCTCTGTGAGATGCTTAGGAGACGAACATTGGGGAGGATATCGCGAGATTGAGCAGCGACGCTTCGAGTTGGCTGCAGAAGTGGTGAACTTGGAGCGATCAGTTCTCATTACCGGGGACCATGAGGAGTCAAAGTTCTTGAACTCCAAGCACAAGTTGCACAAGCACACATTCTATTCTGTGGCAGGCATGTTCTGTGGCAGGCTAGTTTCGCAGGCTACAAAACCCTACTTCCCCTCTCACGAAACGAGCCTTGCCGCAGCCAGTTGAGACCGCAGATCGACCACAACTCTCTCAGAGAGCAATCCGACCCGCACATCCCAGCAGCGCGAAGGCTCAGCCCAACGACACACCAGAATCCGTTACGGAAACCTTGCCCCACCCAAAACTCCGCAAACGCCGAACACGTCCCAAACAGACTCTGCACGCCAGGTAAACAG